ATCTGGGAAAGAAAATTGAGATGTTAATGCTTGGTTTTCGTGATTTGAAATGTTGTTTTTGTTGCTGTTATTGTTGTGGTTATGGTTATTGTAAGTGATATTGAATTGGTGAATTGGTGAATTGGTGAGGTGGTGAACTGATGAGGTGGAGGAGTTTATGGGAGTGTGATGGGGATTATAATTAAGGGATGGGGTGGATGGGATGGATGGGGTGGGATGAGATGAGATGGAAAGGGTTTTGAATATTTGAATGGTTGGGATTGAGAATACCTATGATTTGTTGGTTTAGTAACCTTTGTATAGGGTGGTTAGTATAGTATAGGGTAGGGTTAGGAAGCTGGAGAGGTTGGGGGGAAAGAGGTTGAGGTAAGAGAGAGGAGAGGAGAGATCTTATTGTATATCTGAGAGTTTCGGTGTCTCTGTGAAAGCTTTATAGACTGTGTAGAATGTTTGGGACTTGAGGTTAATTGGTGTAGAATTGAGAGGATAGAGAGGTGTGGAATTGAGAGGTGAAGAGGTGGAGAGATTGGGGGAAGAGATCGGGGGGAGAGATTGGGAGGAGAGATTGGGGGGAGTTTGAAAGATTTGATTTGAGGTTGGAGAAATGAAGGAATGGGGAATGGGAAATGGGAAATGGGAAATGGGGAGTGGAGTGGAGAGGTGAGGTGAGGTGAGGTGTGAGGTGAGGTGAGTAAAAGGATTTGTTGCATATCTACAATTGCTCGTATCTTTGTATGCATGATATAGAATGTTTGAGACTGTAGATTAGTATAGAATGAAAAGATTGGAGAGGTTTCAAAGAGAGGATTTGTTGCATATCTACAATTTCTCGTATTTTTGTGTGTAGATGGGTAGGTAGGATGTTCGAGACTACCTAAGATTTGTTGGTGTAGAGTTGAGAGGCTGGAGAGGTTGAGAGGAGAGGTTTCAAAAAGAGTGTTTGTTGCATATCTACAATTTCTCGTATTCTCATACATACGTACTATACGAGTATTTAAGACTAAGATTCACTAATATCGAGTTAAAGCAAGCTAGAGAGTTTAGGAGGAATGATTTGGAGCCCTAGTAACCTTAGCTCAGCTTAGGTAGGTATTTGAAAGAAAAATAGAAAATGAAAGGGTTTGTTGTATATCTATCATACAGATTCCGGTCTTTCCGTTAAGATGTGGAAAAGGATTTGGAATTGAGGTTAAATTTGTGTGTATAGGTAGGTAAATAGGATTAATAGATCAATCAGAGGTTGAGAAGAGAAGAGAGATCTCAAGGTTATGTTTTCGCTTGTAAGATTATTGTGGAATATCTGGGATTATCTAGGTAAGTCGAGATTAGCGGTAGTTCAAGTGAAGCTAGAGAGGTTGGGAAATCTAGTGTTTACTTGGATTGGGGAATGTGAAGATGGTTTTGTTGCATATCTAAAGATCTCGTATCTTTGTTGATGTGTAGGATGTTTGAAGCTGACTAATAAGTATACGAGTAAACGAAGCGGCTGAAAGGTTTGGAGATCTGTGGATCCAGCTACTCATGCGGTTGGAAAGTACCAGGTATACGACACTAGGTAGGTATACGACCGTCCACCTGGATATGAGCTACAAATTATTTTGTGTTTTGTTATTTTGTGAAATGTATCTTTTTCTTCTATAGAGGGAAATACTAACATGTGGATTAAAAATATATACTATATTTTCAAAAGTCTCTAGTAAATTGAATGATTGTGATTATTTTTGTTTGAAAAATATAAAAAATATGTGAAATGAAAATACTACGAAATTTATACACAATAATATATTTCTGATTGATTAACTAATTATTCAATTTTCGAAATAATAATTTTTTCCTAAGATTTTTTCGATTTCGACGAGTTTGGTGTGCTGGGTTTTCTGTCTGTAGTGTAGCCACCTTGTAAGTAGAGTGGAGTATGATATGCAATTCAACCGCACGAATAGTACATGGAAAATAAAGAAAGGTAAGATCTTACAAAGCAAGTGAGAGGATTTGTTGCACATCTACAGATCTCGTATTCCCATTTCAACGCAGAATGTGTGAGATTAAATCGAAGCTAGAATTAATAGGTTAGAGTGGTTGAGAGGAGCGGTTTGAAAGAGAGAGAGAGAGAGTTTGTTGCATATCGACAGATCTCGTATTTCCATCTGCATGTATCAGAATGGTTGATACGAAATCTAAAGTGGAATGACCAGGCTGGAAGAAGGAAAGCTGGGAAATTCGTGATTGGGTTGGGTTGTGATGGTTTCTAGCTAATAGAGCCTCAAGATGCCTGGATGTCTCGATGGGGAATGGTTGGGGATTTGAGAGTTTGTTGCATATCTACATCTCTCGGTCTGTCCGGATACGTACGTTTGTTTGCAAGTACTGTAGGTCTGAGACGAAATTCGGTTAAGATGCTGAAAGGGGAGTTGTGAAACGTGGTGGTTGGTTGATGGGGATGTGAGTACTAGGTGTGTACGTGTGTTAGATATTGGGTTTGGGATGGAGAAATGGAGAAATTGAGAAAGTAATAGAGCTCTTGTTGCATATCTACAAATCTCGGTATCTCCGTTGCATTTGGAATTTGGGTATGCAGAATGTAGAATGTGTTGGCTAGATTGGATGGATGCATATTGGTTTACCTTTGGAAAGCTAGAGAAGTCTCGAATAGGTGAGGTGGTGTGTTGAGTTGGATATAGTGTATCGTATTATGTAACATCTAAGATATACGAGTATACGAGTATACATACTCATTACAACCTCGTGGTTTGGTTTCGTCAGAGAAATACTAGGTAGAGAGAGTGTGTGTTGCATATCTGCAAGTCTCGGTATGCCCGGCCAGACACGCCACGAAGAGTTTCAGGAGTCGAGATCACTCGGTGGATGTGATGTCTCAAGGATGGAATATTTGGTTATTGATTTATTTATCGATTTATCGATTCAATAGATTGATTTATTCAATAGATTTATAGCTGGCTCTGACTCTGACTCTGACTCTGACTCTGACTCTGGAAGAACATAAAGATCTGCCTCGTACAGCACAAGACGTCCGACCAACCCGTCTCATTTCCACTTTCGGACACGCCGATAGTTGGTGAGAGGAGTGTGATTGGTGGGTGCGCGCGGGGTTAGTAAGCGCGGTGCTGGGGGTGTTCAGGCTATTTTGTGGTGGTTGTTGTTGCTGCAGAAATCTGGTAATGATACCTCATACATACCTAGGAAATGAAGAATGGGTTGGGTATTGATTGGTAAGAGATGGGAGATGCGATTTGGGACAGGTTGGGAATGTTTTTGTTGCACGTCGTGGTGTTTCGGTCGTTCCGGTGGCGATTTTCTGTTTTTTATAGGGGCTGGAGTCTTGACTCTCGAGGGAAATTAAGGTGTGCATGCTTGGTGCCACTGTGGCGAGAAGAGACGACGCGAGAATCGATGAGAGGTTTATGTTCACTTCGTTCATTTGTTGTCGCGTTTTCATGATATTGATGGGATATCAGGATTAAAATTGGACTCAGTGTGAGTTACTATTGGGGATGCTGATGATGGTTGATCATAAAATGTATTCCGCGCGCGAACCTAGATACCATCTCTTTGCTTTGTCTTTTTTGCTCTATTCACATCAAATTCCTCGAAAAGGGATTTTGCTGCACATCTCGGTACAAGTAGTGATGGGTTACTTCGTGCTATGAACCCCAGGTGGTGAATGGTATAATGCAGTTGCTATTTATGCAACTGATCTTCTCACGAGGGTTTTATTGCGAATTTTACTGCAGATCTCGAAGTGGTGGCCCTAGCTGGATTGGTCTTGTGGATTGAGATAGCATAGTTGCTATGGTTAGTGCTGCTTGAGTGTGGGTTTTGTTGCATGTCTGAGGGGTGGCGTTGGGTTATGTGGGGAGGAGGGTGGGAGGGTGTGTAGGTAGGTATGTTTGGTGTGGTGTGGTATGGTTCTCCACTTTTGATGGGGGTAGAGGGAGGGGGAGTTGATAGTTGATAGTTGATATTGGCTGATGGGGGTGTGGAGGAGGTGAATGGTTATGACAAAGTTATGGGGGAGTGGAGTGGTCGGGGAGGAAGAAAGAATGTGAGAGTTTGAGAAAGATACACGCAGTTTTCCTATAACAGATCGGCGATAATTGACTATCAGTGTAGTCCGATTATCACTCTTCAGAATGAAGACATAGGAGTATGTAAGCTACACAATAACGCAGACGCACATTGGTAAAATCATTAAAGTAGTATTCAGTGATACTTTGTTAAGTTTATCCGTTTGTAATGTAAAAACATGAACCCAGCTTAATATCCATCCATCATTAACACCCCAATACTGCCAGACATATTCAGATACATACCCAGTATGTATATATTTTCATGGTTGTGACGATTATATGTAATATTACATCAGTCTTGGCGTAGTAACAGTACTGATAGGTCTGCATTCGGGGTCAAGCGATCCGCGTATGTTTTTGAATTTGCTCGATTTGACAAAGGAAAGGATAAAGAGTAATGACATGAATAAGTAAAGGAAATACCGGTACATACATACACTTAGTCTTCAAGAGCGCCAGCGACAACTGCCACTGCACTCCAAAGCAATCTTCCGGCATCGGCTCCAGCGCTTCCAACAACGGCCCCTACTCGAACACAATCCTTGACTCGAGCCTTTCCAGATGCTTTGATTCGAGAGCGTCTCGAAATATTTTTTTGGCTTTGTCTTTGAAGATGGAGTGTTCTTTTGCGGTTGGTGTGTTGTTTATGGATGGGTTCTTGTTTTCATTGTGTTTAGATCGGGAGTGTTTTGTTGCAGCAGGGTTATTGTTTATGGATGAGTGCCTGTTTTCATTGTGTCGTGCTATGTTTTCTATTGTTAAAGCATACGTTGAGGCTGGAGGATGACTTCGACCGCGGCTTGAAGAGCGAGGCTCAGGTGGATTAGGATTGCGGTGACGGCGATGGCGATGATGAGATCTGCGAGGTGGTGGTGATGATGGTGATGATGATGGCGGTGATGGTGGTGGTGGTCATGGTGGTGGTAAATTGTGTTCAATTTTAGTTCTAGGTAGAGTATTGGTGTCATAAGGCGGAGATAGAGCGGGGCGGCGACGACGAGATGGAGCAGGGCGGCGACGACGATGAGGAAGAGGGGGGGACTGAGTAGATTGAGGAGTAAATCGGGGAGGCCAAGATGGTTGTGAGGATTGAGAGGATGGAGAGGATGGAGCAAGTCGATGAAGCTGAGGCTCAGAAGGCCTGTGTCCCGGTAACGGTATTGGAGGACGACTTCCTACCCGATCACAAAGAGGTACAACAGGATTACTTTCTGACTGATACGTAGATCCTAATGCCCATCTCCAGTTATCTTCTCCTTGAACATCAAAGCTACGTTCCGAGGCACTAAACAAACGCAAGGGTTGACTTTCCTCTTCTAGTCCTTCTCCTTCTCGATACCAGTAATTGTCGCGCAATACTTCTCCCTCCTGTATGCGTTCTTTTCGTTTCAAATTGTTTCGCTGTCGTGCCCTTTCTTCCTCTCGGTTTTTCTTTTGTAATCTTTGTCTCTGTGGTCTTCTTTCTTCCTCTCGTTCCCGATCATATTGATACCACCCACCATTTCGTTCTCTTTCTTGGAGAGAGTTTGCAAACTCCTTGTTTTCTCTTCTTTCTCTTCTTTCTCTTCTTTCCTGTCGTCCTCTGGAAGTAAGGTACTTTCCCAAAACATTTCTCGATTCTCTTACTCTTCCATAATCGTAGCGTGATAGATATAAATCTGAAGTTCCAGCGACCGATTCTGCATTTGGCGGCGGAGAATACGAAGTAGTTAATTGTTGGTTCACAGATTGATGCGAAGAGGCGGGTCTACTGTTATGGCTTGCGCGACTTTGTCTCGACATTTTGATATTAATGTTGATGTTGGCTTGAATCTTTAAGTTGAGGGGAAGTGTGATGTGGTGGTTGAAAGAGTTCAAAATTAAAAGCTCAAATGTGGGAAATCCAATACACGGTCCAAGAGAATGTTGAAATGAGTGGTTGAATTATGCTCGAGTCATATCTATGATTCCCAGTCATACCTCGTAATGAATAATTTGGATCGCAAGGAATATTGAGGACTCATATTTGATGACTCGAGGCGGATTTTTCTTCTTGGCCGAAGCTTCTGCATACACTTCGATATTGTTAGTTCGATCATGTTTTTGATTTTGAGGTTGATGAGGAGTTACAAAATTTGGGAGTTGATCATAGGTACTCAAAGACTACAGTTGGTAGCCAAATTCTCGAAGCCACAAACCTAAGCAGAGATAGGAATTAGTCTAGCAAAATGCCAGATACTTGAATCCTTTACCTCGCAGGGAACTCGAATATCGAGACTTGGATTAAGTGATACTTGAGGTCCAAGGGTCTGAGAGGAAGATGTACTCGAAAATCAGCAGCACCCATAATTTCTCTTTTTTCCAGTGAATTTTAAAAAGCCATGCATTTCGTTTATTTCACTAAGTTCTCGGTTCTTCCGTTCTTAACTTCAATGGTCCTCCAAGATCATATCATACACCTCTTATTGCCTCTCCTTTGTTTCCTTACCCCGTAATCTTCTCATCCAAAGGAAGCGAACCGCCAGTTCTCTGACACCCTCTCACAAACCGACCCTTCTCCCAAGGGTAATTAACATCCTCGAGATTGCGAGGTTCCGCCGGGGGTAAAGAACCCAGAATTATGTGAACCTCCACGAGCAGGCTCGCCTCTACGTACAGATGCACCTCCCCGAAAAGATCCACCCTCACCAACGTGTTCACCTCGAGTAGTCCGTCTGCTTCTAAAACGCCTTCTACAATTCGGGAAACCTACATTCTCAGAGTCCACGGGACAACCAAATGCATCAATTCTGTCATTCTCTGCAGATCTTCCACCCCAGAGTCTTTCTGATGCAGGACCAGTCGGAAACAGGGTTCTGGTTTGGGGTGTGCCATCATGGACAGCACTTTGGTTCAGGTTAGTGATGTTATAAAATACAAGATCAAGAGATGGAGGTGAAATAGAGAGTCTTCGTACTTAGATATCCGACCCCGGGTGAAATGCCAGTTGTTTCTTGTGAGATCAACGAAAAAACGCTCTCTCCCATTGCCAGATGATACACTGGGTGCATCTATCATTGTGGGAACTTCATCGGGAACTTCGTTCGTTCTCGACTGTGCGCCTGAGTGGTGTGCTTTTGGTTCTGTGCCAGAACGAGTAGGTGTTAGATTCTCACCCGTTGGCGATCGAGATCAAGTGCCACTTTCGCGAGGGCGATGAGTTTCAGGAGGTGAGATCTTATTTACCCATCTTCGAGCAACACTTGGAGTGGCCCAGTCTAGATCTCCACTCTTTTTCCTGACATTTTGGGTTTGATATTAATATTGATGGAAAACTTTATGCTTGGTATCAAGTTGATGTTTTGAAAAGACTTTGGTATTTGGAAAGAACAGAAAGTTAAAGTCGGGGGATTTTGAGGCCTTAAGAGGTAAATTCGTGTGCAAGAAAAGATAGTTTCAATCGTGAATCCGCTGCAGCACTAGAGTTTGGAAATGACTGATACATTTCGAATGTTTCTTTGAAATACAAATGCATGTGTCAGTCCGAACTGATGATTCTTTTCTTTCGGTGTATATGATTTACGAAGTTCAACCATCGAGGAGTTACTGTGTTCTTGACGCGGGGTCCCGTTTGATTCATTTGATACTTCTCCAATGTACGAGTGCGGATCTTTTGCTGGTCTCTTGTATCTGACTTTGTTTATAAATTTCGTCGACTCCATAATCGATTTGTATCGAATATCAAGATGTGAGTTGATGAAACCTGACTGAATTCAAAAAGAGCAAAGTTAAAGTCAAGATAGTTCAAGCCTTGATTTCAACAAATCTAAACATATTGAGAGGAAATGACCCCAACGAAGCTCAACAAATTAACGAATATTCAGAATGAGAGATTTGATTGCAAGAACGTATATCGAATGCTCATTTCGTATCATAACTCTTCCAGTTCCCGTGTGATTCTGCATCAAAAAAATTCACCTATTGATTCTCATTTGATCTTTACAATGTCATCATAAAACGCCATGCTATTCTTATTCTACTGTGTATGCCTTCCTTTGAACATGAGCTGGTTCTCATCTTTATATTTCAGAATCTGTAAGTCGTAGATTCAATATTACATATCATCTTATTTCCCATTACTACCGTGGTCTTTACGGATTTTCCTAGAAGACAATTTTCCTCCCTTTCAACTACCAATCCTGTGATACTTTCTTGCAAGCCAGCTGCAAAATATAAGCGCATACAGTTATTTGGAGCGATTGCTGCACCATTCATCAAATGTTGCAAAACCAGTAGTGACCCGAGCTTGCTCAGCGCTTCTGGGGAAACGTGAAGCTTCATCTATGCTGTGATTATAGGAAGCCGACTGTTGATTATACACACTTGTAGAATCATGGCGAGTTTGGTGCCGGGAATCACCTTCGGATCTGCGATTGATGATTAACAATTCTGATGGACACACCGACGACTCATAGATGAGATGAGAAGGATGGAAAGGTTATGGTGTAGAGTATTCATACCTTATCGCCGTGGCAGAGCGTCGCCTATCCTTGGTCGGTTCATGGGAAAGATCAGGTTCACCTCCAGAGGAATGGCGACTCTCCTCGAATGATGCCTGGGAAAATCGACGGTCGACTTTTGATGCATAAGAAGAATGAGGTCTCTCCTTTTTTAATGAGTGAGAAGATTGCGGCCTGTTAGATGACCCGCTATGTGCAACTAAACCTTCAGAATTCGGTCTCGGTATAGCACGATGACTATCAGACTTTGATACAGCACCCTCAAATTTCGCAGATGCAGTAGAAAGAGATTCGTAAGAAGGAGGAGCAGCTTCATAGCGCGGAAGACTGAAAGTAGGAGCACGCCGGCTCGTTTCTCTATTGTTATCTTCACGTCGTGGGAGTGGATGTCGGGACCGAGGATCTCCTGGAGTAAGTGATGTGATAATGCTGATAACTCCCATGGTCGATTTGTATTGAGTATTAATATCGAGAGTTGATCGAGAATCTAGTGTTCGAAGAAAGGTATCTTGAGTGTAAAGAATTAAGCCAAAACTCAAAGCCCGGGAAACGCGAGTCCTTAAAAGGCGAAGGATTGTAAGCAGAACCGGTTAAGGAGGTTTGATTCGAATATCGAAGACAATGATTCATATTAAATGACTGTCATAATGTACAAACAGTCACATTTATTCTCAATGGCTCACGTACTTTTCAACTAAGATCAGTAATTTAAAGTCACGCGTTTCATTATTCCTAATTATTCTATCTCTCCATCTTCAAAGCCCACAATTGTAAATCCCACATTGTATACCCCCATCCTTTGATTTCCTAACCCTATCTTAACCGACGAGAATTTTTACTAAGATACTCCATCGGTTTAACTAAATAACCTGGTCCTGTGTATTAGATGGCGCAATCACCATCACATCTTGATCCGCTTTGCTCATGGTAACGTTGATACAGGAGTACCTCCCTCTCAAGAGTTTGAGGTGAACATTAGCGGGACCTGGATTTGAGAGTTAGTAACATAGTCATGTAGAGATATCTTGACAGATATTAGAGTTAAAATGAAAAGGGGCTAAGGAAGGTGTTCAATCGTGTAGAGAATTTACTTACTTGTTACTTGGCCGTTCGATAAAGATAGATCTTAGAATGGAAGAACGGGGCTTAACCCTTGATGCAGAGGAGAGACGAAGCTCACTTCTAGATGATCCACTTTGTGGGACCACCACTCTGGGATTCATATTTGTTGATGTAGTATGATGACTACTAGATCTTGATACAACACTTTCGGCCCGTGTGGATGTAGATGGACGACCATTCTCATTGCTCTGAATAGAACGAGACCTGGTATGTTGATTATCAAGAGATGAATGATGAGGAGACAAGGGAGCATGTTGAGGTGTCTGCGGGACTCTGATTTCTTGTACTGATGGAAGGTTGCGAGAATCTCTATCGTTTTGACGTCTAGGTGAAGCGTTCCAATTAGGTTGGTGTGCAATTTGGACTGAGGATCTAAGCTGTTCAGACATTGTAAGAAGCGGCACGCCATCTTCAGACGGTCGCCTTCCTGAAGCGCGGTTTCGGAATGGGTTCTTAATCTTGTGAAACATTTTGGGGTTATCGTAAACAGAAGTAGGATTTGGGTTCGAATAGAAAGTAGTTGAAGAAGAGAAGGTTCAAAGCTTGGGGAACTCGAGTTCTTGAGACATAGGAAAAGGCTGGCCAACTGTCTCGGGATTGATATTCCCCTGAAGTGCTGTGATGACTTCCGTTAATGAAGCCCCAAAATCTGAATCCCATTGTCAATTCGTCTTGAGTGTTGATATCAAGTCAAAACTCGATACTAATTTCTGTGTTCGAAGATTGACTTCGAAGAACCAGATCTCAAAGCCAAATCTCGGAAACCTCGAGCCCTTGAAAGGTGGAAGATTTTGACCAGGAAAAATCAGAGGAAATGACTCGAACATGAATTGCAAATGTGATGACTGTCATATCTACAAATCATAAGCACGGGATTGATCATGTTTGTTATTTTACATTGTTCATTGCGTTTCCGACCGACACCATTATTTAGTGATTCTATCCTTTTGCTATTCTTCATGGATATTCCACCACTTAATTTCTACCTATGCTCAGTTTCTATCTCTTGAAATTATGAGTTGCAAAATCTGGATATATCCTACATCCTTTGACCATCCCTAAGCGAAAACATCTTCCTTGAGAAAAACCGACCATGAATAGTCCACCAGTTATGAGGTGAAGATGAACAGTCATAGAACTCTGCAGCCTCCAAGTTTTTGCTTTTTTACTTGATTTTCGAGTCAAATCATTCGTCAGTCACAAAAGAAGTTGCTTACGGATATATAGATTTCACTACTCATGAATGTACTTATTACCATGATATTACCACTCAAATCATCACCTCCGTTTCTTTCTTGGCGACTCATTAGCATACCAAATCTTCTTTTTGAGTCAGTCCCCCTTCATCATGGCCGTTCAAATCTACCTCTTAAGGACCTGACTTCCCTTGAGCCTGGGGTTTCTCCATTTCAACCACCAGAAGATCTAAATTATTAGCACAAGTCTTTTTCATCGATATTTAGTTGCCGTTACCTTTAAAAGAAACTCCGAATATGGCAACCCCTCCAACAAATGATTCCATTCTGGGCTGGTTATACTTGACATCTATCGTCGTCATCATTTGTTACTTTATAATTCGTTGGATGCGGCACGGACATACACTACATCCTCAAGTTCCCCCAGGGCCACGCCGCCTACCTTTTCTCGGAACCCTCTTCAGCATGTATAGAATAAACGCTGCACCTGCAAAGATATGCAACGATTTGGCTCGGCGCTATGGAGACCTTGCAACTCTGTGGCTAGGCTCTTGTCCTGTCATTATGATCAATATTCCGCAAGCTGCCCATTGTTTGTTGCAGAGGGTAAGTTTACATGGAGGACTTCTTGCATTCTGCTTGTGTTAACTGGTTTAAAAGACAGAAAGCAGCCTCCACGTCATCTAGGCCGATGCACAATAATTTTCGTCACAAGATCATGCCTTTCAGGGTGGTGCTCGAGCCAGAGGGAGAAACTTTCCGCAAACTTCGACAAATCTATAACAAATTTCTAGGGAAACAGCACTTACAGATATTCCAAAAGCACCAGGAGGAAGAGTCTGAATCGGCATATGAGGCGGTGGAATGGACAAAGTTTCTACCAAATTTCTCTTAATGAAGACCCATCAAATGTACCATCTATCAATCTATTCAACGGCTGTCTCAAACTCCGAACAGTAGAATGCATAATGGCTGATAGTCTAATGGGTGTTATATGTTGCTTAGATTGATTATCCTGGAAGACGGTCATTCGCGTATCTTGTCGAACTATATATACCGCCTCGTATCAAAAACAAATGTAAGGTTATAAGACAACCACGAACACGCAAGCACATAGAGGCTGAGTTTACCCACTTATCAAGGATAATGTCGGTAGTTGAGATAGAATAGCCATTAAATGATTAAAATATCATGTAGAAATTATCTAGTTGGGTAATCTACAAATCTTTAAGTTGAGCATGTTATAGTGACTTCAGGAGTGTAGTAAGATTACAAAAATGGAAATAATAAAAGTCAAAATCGGAAGATGTCGAATTTTTAAAAGATAAAATTGTCATACCTATAATAAAGAGAGAACTGACTGGAAAGAAAAAACTGCTCTACGAATGAGTCGTTGTAATGATGCAACGTGAATGATTCTACCTATCTGTACAGTAATAACTAAGAACAAATTCGATGATAATTCACGTCCGGACATACGTGCAGATTTACTCTTCACCGAGAAATCAATCCCTTGGATCACATCCAGAAGCGTGCTATTGAATAATAAGTACTCTTGACTTGTGGATTTCCCATGCCTGGTGCATACTCTCACCAATGTGTAAAAATAAAATCAAGCCTAGAGAGAAATAACGGACTCAGAATCTCCATTAAATAGGTGATAACTTCTACTAACCCCCGTTCCGTTCTATTCCTACTGCATATCTATAGCACAGCACAGATAAGAGATGCTATTCTTTCTGAATGCAAGAAAAGCCTCCTTTCCCCTCCCAATATCCATATACAAAGTAATGCGATTGCCCAACATATAATCATATCCACATGAGTATACCGAGCCTCCCACCCAAACGCCAACCATGCAGACCAGACCGAATCCACAGAATACCATTATATATGCACATTTTCCACACCTTCCTAAATTATTCCGGATCACACTCCTCTTCTCTTGTCAAACTCTTCACTAGAAACCGACACCCTCTTTAAACCCCCTCAACCCTCGTCAAAAACTCTCGAACCCTATTTAAATCGACATCACTCTCACTCTCCACCGCTCTCGCCAACCCCTCAATGACACTATCCACCTTCGAAACATCCACACCCGTACACAAACTAATAATTTTCTTATACTTTGCTATCCTGCCAGTATCTTTACTTCTCAATTCTTGAACGCTTCTTTCCAAATTATCATTATTAGCTTTATAAGCCATGATTCTCGCTTGAAGAATATGTAGTGAAGGTAATTGTTGTAACAACGCTTGTCTATTCGCATGATCTACTTTGAGATTCGAATTTCTCGTCGGAGTATTATTTATATCTGCAGGAATTTGTGGAACCGCCAAAGATTTATCTGCATCACCAAGATGCATTTCAAGGTCTAGATCTGAAGTAGGTTGATTGAATTGTTGCTGAAGTTGAAGTAATTTCATACTTTCTTCTTCTGCAGCTCGAGTGAGGTTTGCGATTTTGAGATCACGTTCTTCACGTTGTCTATTACGTTCTTGTTTTGCTTCCATGGCACGTCGTTCTTCTCCTAAGCTTGCAGATGCTTCGCGAAGTTTGGCATGAATTGAGTCGATTTGAGCTTGTTTAGCTTCTACTTCTTTTCCAAAGTCTTCAAGTGTTGATTGGAGAGTTTGCATTTATGGCTAAAACTATATTAGAAAGAATCCAAGGTGGGCAGTAAAATGACAGAAACTTACAGTCAATAATTTCTCCACTTGTTTCACGCGTGGCTTTATTTCCTCTCTTATCAGGACTTGCAAGACCTAAACGATCTCCAGGGTTTGTCAAACCCCCAATGAAATCTGATGGGCGTAACTTGGAATTATTCTGAATTTCAGGATCTGCTCCAACTTCCATGAGTTGGGAGATAATACTTTTATTACCGACTCTAGCTGCAATATTCAGAGCAGTATCACCTGAATTATCCTGTGCATTTACCATTTCAGACATAAATCGACCAATATCCATGGCATGAGGATTAGGCTCATGATTTTGTGATTGACCATTGAATGAACGACCTTTCCTAACAACAAATTCGAGGAGTGATTCAAGATAGTATTTGCTAGCAGGGCTGCGACCTTTGACAGCTGAAGTAACAGCTATATGATGTAAGACTGTTCGTCCACGATTATCCTGGAAGCCAATAGTGTTGCCGAGTAATTCAAGAAGGTCCGGGAAACTTCCTTGATCCAAATTGTTAGCTACACAACATGCTCTCATCAATGCAGTCTCTCCTCTGAGATTGACTCGATATATGCTTGCGCCGGATTGAATAAGCTTTTGTAAGACAGGTAATCTTGCAAGAGTAGCAGCCCAATGAACAGCGGTATTGGCTGATTTGTCTATAGGAATATCGAGTTCTACACCGGACATAGTACGAAACGCCTCCTGGTCATTGTGCTCATTCGTCCCCAAGTAAGAATTCTCGTTGTGAAAGAGTGACAATAGAGTCAATCCCTTCTTTCCATTGTGTTGATTTTCTGGTAGAGGTGGTAACGGCATTGGAGCTTGTTCGTCTTGTGATAAACCCAAATCTTGACGATAGAAGAATGAATCATTAGGTTCGGTTGGAGACGGCTCTCGCAAGGACATATTATAACCACCATTCATCGACTGTTGGCTATCATTCGGTGGCTCGAGAGATTCTCTTCGTCTTTTTCGTGGCGGCTCTTGGAAATCTCCATCCTCTCTACCAGTATGCGAGAACTGAAATTGGGATTGAGTTGCATAAGCCGAATCTCCATTCGTTAAACCTTCGTTAGAAACGAAGCTTTGGATACTTTGTTGCGAGTTGGGGAATGTAGTCTCTTGACTCATTTGTTGTGATGATTGTCTGCTAAAAGTAGGAGGTCTTGCGCTACTGTTTCGATTCCTAGGAACAGGTGAATCAAATCGGGCTTTGCTAATTGCTGCGACTGCGAGGGAAGCTTGATTCGAAATATTTTTAAAGAATGTTCCGGATTGTCCAATATTACGATTCTCGGTCCCTGAATTATAAAGTCTCTTTCTTTGTGCAGCCATTGCTTGTTCCTTCGTTGGGGTATCAATTCCACCTTGTCCTGCAATACCTCCATCTTGGCCCATATCATAGCTTAAAAGTGGCCGTAGAAGTTCTTCCACGCCATATTGTTTGCAAAATTCAACGCCTCTTTCGAATCTAATCCAAGTTCCTTGATATTTTCCGTACCCACCCTGAACTTTCTCATGATCTCCAATCAGAATTTCTTTCTCGAGGACCTTTGTTCGCTTTCCTTTTTCGATTCCTGCTACTTTCAATATCTGGGTAGCATTAAGCCAACTATCTTTTCTCCGTCGCATGACTGCTATACGATTAACTTCCATTTCATATACATCGACACCGGAATACACCGCCTATAAAAGATTAGTAACAGCTTAGTTTTCAATTGAATCAACAAAAACATACCGAATAGATTTGAGGTGCCATGTCTCTACGATTCATGGCACCGGTTGAGTCGTATTGACGAAAAGGTCCACCTGGTTGCATCATTAAACCACCAGGCTGTGATCCTTGACTCATACTGATTGACATTTCGGAACGAAATCGAGTCGAATCTTGGCCACGATCGTGTGCGCTGTTGTTTGCAGAATATGTCTTCGGCGGCAGATGATTTTGTTTTGATTCTGATGTAGTCGCAAGAGGTAGAGGGTTGGATTTAATTCTCGTCGCTGCCATAGAATAAGAGATATCGACAGATATCGAGATGTTGCGACGATGTGTATTAGTCGAATGGCAATCGCGTCACCGAGGACGGTAAGATCCTTGAAACAAGGAGCTTTGTCAATTCAATGTTCACTGAGCGCATTCACCTACAATGATGCTCAGATCAATGACGATAAGGGGAACGCGACTCAATATCTAAACAGGGGTGAGGTCGACGTGTCTTTCGTGTATCAAGCGCGAGGAGGTGTAAAGTGGTTTTGAGAATTGGTGTATTATTGGAATGTATTGGTGTGGGGGGTTGGATGGAAATTTAATTGGACTTTGACGTGACGGTTCGCGAAGCTAGAATGACCTTTTGGGTGGATAGATGTGTGATGGTGAGTATTATGTAAGCAAGCTTTGACACGACCACGTGATGACCTCAGCAAAAGAGAATATACATATATTCCGACGACTCACTACATACATGCACTCAGTACATATGTTTTAATATACAATTGTCTCTTCGCCGTCGATGTTTATATCTTCATATGAGCCATTACTCAACGTCAAGATTCAATTTGAATACGACTTCATTCCATCCTGTACTCTGTAGGTAAATATCCTCTCAACACGCGACTCAATGCCTATATTTAAAGGCGACAACAATATTTCTCTTCATCAACCTTCAGTACAATAATTTGGCAACTACCTAGGTACCTTTTGACTCTCCCCAAAGGATCAGGAAGTATTCTGCTTCTTGTTGATTCTCTTCATTCGTTTCATACTTTTTACGTTGTTAATACTGCTTGCGTTCACAATCCCCAGCAATCCCCAGCTTCAACAGCTCCAATGCCGTCCATAAGCAAAAACGTTTACACACTTCCCCTACAAGTGAAGGAATACCTACCGCATTTCCGAAAACAATATAGAGCTCTCCTGAGAGAAGCAACGTATCTTCCTGATTCTGCCGCAAGAACTTTTGTCCACGATCTTCTCGTCAAACGATTCAATCCTCCCGATCCTCGAAAGCTGAATCCAAAATATTGGGGAACCGATTATTTACGGTCAAAGGTTGATTTGAAGAAACTGCAGACAAGATCCAAAAAGAATGCTACCAAATTACATTTACTAGAGCGTGTAAATCTGGAAGGCAGTATACCTGATTTACAACATGTCTTATTGAGAACATATGGACGTGCAGGACATAGAAGGAGGGAATTAATTACTCAATTGTTGAGACCTGGAGAGGATGAATTACCACAAGATGATACAGCACTGTCACGAATTATCGATAGCCAGATTTCAAAGAAGTTGGATGTGACCAAAGATGTTGAGATAGACAAAGCAAACGCTTCATCCAAAAGACAGCGCCGAGAGCACAAAAATGTGCATTTGTTTCTCGCGAGTCAACAAGCAAATAATCCCATGGAATCGATGAGAGGGAGGATAAAAAGTCTCAAGCTAGATATACCGTTAACGAATGCATGGGGACGCAGCTTCCCAGAAAAACGGAAAGTAAATATGCAACGCACATGGTGGGCAAGTCTTTTGGAACGAGTTCTACCACCAGTACCTGAACATGAATGGAATAGATTGAGAGATTTGGCAGAAGGAACACAGCCAATCGAGTGTCCACCCCCAAGACGAAAGGCTGCCGTTCCCCGAAATCAAAATGAAGATGCTAAGTCCGCTGGAGAAAGGATGGATTCCCTGTACAACAAACCAGCCAGACTTAATGCGGATGTCTGGGACGAGACAACAATGAAAATTGAGCTAAATGACTCACAAACTTCCAATACGCCACAACACAACAGGACACGAGCGATGCGAAGGCTATACGGTATGATTTGGAGTCTTTCATCAAAAATGGTACAAGATGAGAACACTAAAGAATATACAATAACTTGGGGAGGGCAACGTTCACCATCCGCTGCGGGAGAGATCACAAAGCCATCATCGAAAGATGCTGAGTTCTTCGAATTGCCAGACGATAGGTTAGCTCAGGGAACTATGGATAGAAAGATTAGGAAGTCAGTGAAGCGTGAAACACAACAACTGATACATTAGGGTTGGTGTCACTGTTACTGTTCAATCTGTAGTATTGCTATTTAAAGCGGAAAAAAAGCCTTCTATAATGATTTTCATACGGATAGTTTCCAGTTCTTTCCTCATGTGACATCGCAAACACTCAAAACAACATTTACTAAAATGCCTCTTGACTTCTTCAAGACACTTCCTATCTCCTCTTAATCTACTTAGCTTTTTCCGCCAACTTCATCAATGCCTCCCCATCAACCCTCATTGTCTGCCACCCATCCATCGCCTTGGCACCCACACTCTTCCCCTCATAAAATTTAATACTAGGTTCATTCCACTTCAACACACTCCATTCCAATCTCCCTCCCTCCATATCCACAACCTCCTTCGCTAAAATACTTAACAATCTCGATCCATAACCCTTTCCCCGCTCGCTTTCCCGCACATACAAATCCTCGAGATAGATACCCGCTGAAGCGCGCCAGGTTGAGTAATTGTAGAAATATAGCGCCATTCCTATTGGTTCGGGGGGTTGGGAAGCAGAAGAAGGGGACGAGGGAGGAAATACAAGTAGACAACGCGCGGGTCGAGTAGGAGATATAGAGTCTCCGGTCGAAGGGGTAGTGTTTGCAGGGGAAACGAGGGGAGAGGGAGCAAAAGCAATAGTTTTGGAGAGGGAGGAGGGGGTGGCGAGTACAGAGGCGGATTCGTGTTCGTAGGCTGCGAGTTCGTGGATGAGGGTTAGGATTCCGGGGATGTCTGGGAGTGGGGAGGAGGAGTTAGTTTGGGGGTTGAGGTTAGAGTGAGATTTTGAGTTAAATGGATGGGACTGGGAAGGAGGAGAGAGTTAGATGGAGTTTTGGGAGGATATAGTATAGTTTTGATGGGGTGTAATCGTGATCTTACCTTCACGACGTGCATGGCGGATTATTGCTTCTTCGGCCATTTTTGTAGAATATTATATTACCAGGTGGTATGTGATCTTGACAAAACAATTGATATCTCAATTGAAGATATTTAGAGAAGATTGAGAAAGAGAGAAAGTTGAACTAGAATTCCAGTAGGTTTGGGGAGTATTTTTTTAGGACGCAGAGAGCAGAATATCAACAATGTCAAGATAGCAGTGAAGGGCGTGATGCGGGGCAGATGAGTCGAATGGATTAATATCGGGGTTGGGGTTGTCATTCTGCTGGTCGTCAAAGCGGTGAAGAGTAGAAAGGGGAAGGCGGTAAATGCAGAAAGAGCGCGGGAGCAAGATTTCGCTCCTTTTATCATTTTAGAGTGTGGAATTAGTGAATGCTGCCGATGGCGGTCAGGAAAGGATTAACAAGTGATGATGGAGTGTGTATACATGCACACCCTGATGATTGATAAGGAGTCTTTGTTAACCAGATGTATTTATTTACCCATCGCGTCTTCAAACACTCTCCAGGTCAACCGCGACATATCCAGCCAGTATCGCACATTCGGAGTGTTTTTCATTTTTTTACCCCCAAGTGACCAGACGATCTTGGAGTTCTCGATTGTCGGCAACTTTGGGGCGGTTTTAATACCGAATCATCTCATTTTCACTCTTGAGCTTGTAGTGAACCTTAGCTTTCTCAAAATCACCAAGAACTTGTGTTCTAGCGTTTCGACGGCGAGCTTTAGTATAAGATTACCGTAACCTTATCGGACCCAAGAAATTTCTACATAGCTTTGCTTTGTTTCCTTGTGCGTTCGAGCCACACTTTGCAGACATCTATGCAGACTCACACTTGAGTGCAGTTATGACTGGCCTACCATCAGTTCCAGTTCAAGAAATTGTGTCAATAACAAAGGCTGCATGGAACCAAATCATCTAGCATGACCAAAAATGTCAATCTCTTCAAAGTTGAAGTGGTACGCATAAAACATTTTTGTTGTCTTGTAATCTCCTAGTAGCTTTCGTGCCTCATTCACACATGAGGCCACAAAATGCAGACAGGTTCGCGGTCAAAATGAGCTGTCCAGAAAGAACTGGATGGAGATGACATAATATATTAGAGGTATTTGGTAAGGCACGTGGTGAAAATAGAAACCTGGTTTGTTGCATGCCTGGATTTCAAAGTGTGGGGAGATTGAGGAGATTTACTGGCTCACCAGGCTATCGTCTGCCGATTTGGGGAGATTCTAGCTGTTCCTGCACATACCAAAACAAACAAGCAGTCGTAACTCTCCACTATTCTCGGACGACAGATATATCAACATCCAAATTCAATTCAAGGATACACTCCTGCTGTCCCAAATATTTGTGAGTACCCTCTACATTACTGAATTTCGGCTTCAGTCGAAAACAATCTGAGCAGATCAAGCAGACACATCTTCCTACATTGTTTTTGAGTAGTGGAAGATTATATCAGTTCGTTTGATGTTGCACTTTTCAATATGCGGCTATGTACGAACATATTGTCAATTATCACACCCTGCTCATATGTATGTCAAGATGATGTAGATATCTGATCCAAGAAATATCGAGACTCTTAATGCTCTATAGTTTTGATACTCAGCGCAAGAACGACTTATGTCTTGACCTAGGCTTCTCACAGTTTTGATGTCTTAGCTCATTATTGAACACGGTCTCGTCTGCTTTTGGTCTGTCATCTATTGTCATAGAGGCGTCAGCTGCGGTGAACAGTGTCTTGAAGATAACTCCATTTTTGCCTGCCAAGTACTTTCTAACCTTTGAAGCAGCTAAGATATTACTACACATTGCTTTCGCTTTTCCATAGTCCATATATTCAGGATCATCACTAACACAAAGAAGGATGGCAGGTGCTAGATTCAAGAGATCGATAGTATGCAACAATGCCTCTTTCCAGCTTTCTAAAGGTTTCTCGAGTTGAGAAAACCGCAAAGGATTCGAATCAATCTCACAGTGAACTCCCGGCTCAAGAAGAGCAATGAGCTGGTGTTCCAAAGTCAAGCCTTGTTGTTTCTCGGATCTCATGATGAGCTCAAAGAAGTAAAAGTTTATCGGTTTCTTTGATATCATAGCAACACCAATCAAAGAGCCAGCAAGTACAGAAACATCAGAGGGATATCTGTGGCCAGCTTCTCTATGAACCCATTGGATAGTGCAATGAGTTCGAAGAGTACAATCGTTGTACTCCAGCGACTTTCTAAGTTTCATGGCAACAAACGCAGCTTCCAAGACGAGAGTGATAGAGTACTGTAGAGATCCGTCAAGTTCTCCTTAATGAATATTTTCAAGCCACTCGAAGAATTTTAAATGGCTGATCGTGTATATCCTCGTTTCTGACTGGAGGAATTGTTCCCGCGTTTCGGTCAAGGAGATCTCCCTCTCTGAGCGATGCATATACTCTTCGAACACTTACATTTTCAGAAAGTCTCTGCTAATTTATTGATTATCAGGCACATCCAAACTACCGAATCGAATGATGAGGCCTCCTGTGTAACTAAGTACCAGTACATCTTTGAATCCACTCGGGATAATGAATATCTTGAAGCATCAAGGTTGTTCACAAAGGCTCTTTGTCATAACCTACTAGTTGGGAGCTTTGCAACTCTCTTGTAGTCAGGGTGTCAATCATGGCATGACAGATGTGGAGTCCAGTTCGCGGAAGACCCGGGCTGGCAATTTTGTGGAAGGGAAAGATCAGGGGCAAATTAAATTGTTACATGGTACGTAGCCTGAGCCCTGCGTACTTTTAAAATTATTCGTGCAACCTCAGATGATAACCAAGCTCAGGTGAGTCAGGTCCTCCTGGATGGAGTAAGACATGTACATTGGGTTAGTAATTCAATTCCTGCATTAACTAAAAGACTTACAGCATCGTCAGAAAGTGTAGCCGAACCCGCTGAACGACCCGTATCTCGCGTCCTTGTAGCAATATTGGCACCGATCTCGATATAGTAGAGTTACAGCTACTAGGGTGGACGATGAACGCCCGACGATGGGGGGCCATTCTTCTATTTGTCAAAGTTGAAGCAGACGCATAAGGAGTAGATCGCACAGCTGATGGTTTGAAAGCAATAGTTTACCCGCAAGTCGGTGTTATTAGTCGCTCATATCCCATCGCTTCTATTTTCTACAACCAGTTCGTGAAGATTTCCAAGAGGTTCAAATAAGATCTGAGCACATTTTCTGAAGGAAATGTGGCGAAGCAAGCGTTGGAATACAGGGCGAAAAGCGATAGTGTTGAAGGGGAGTTAAGGTTGAGAACTTACGTTCTGATTGGACAAGCCTATCCGGGATTGATGAATGAGGTATATTTAATGTTCTTTATGATTAATCCATATTGCTAAGCCATTCTGCAATTCTATCTCAATGCTTTATTAGTCTATAACTCCGAAATATCTCCTAAAGCTTAACAAGAACAAGAACATCCCAAACATCCAACCGACCAAAGAAATCTTGAGCAAGGTATTTACTGAGGACCCCGAATGTTCTCGGGAAAACGGAAGTCGATCATCTGTATTCCAACAAACCGCTATAAATCCACGCATTCAAAGCTACTATATCAGACAGTTCAGGCGAATGTGAGATAATCTCAATACTACCATCCTCATTAAGGAATGAGTCGAATCTCCTGAAGTGGAGAGATAATAAGCCTCAACCAATAAATATCGTCAGAAATATGCGGGATACGGGCTGAGGGGCCGGACCGTACCGACCTGTCGGTACATTATATAGCCTGTCATTGGGCTTACCGGGGTGTGATAGATGAGAAATACGCTAGAGACACCGCAGTACTAGTTTATAACGCACATAGTTGTGGGTCTTATTGTTTGCCAGGGAAGTTTTTTGGACTTACCAGGGCATTGCTGCTATCAGTTGAGTTTTTCATACGTGTTGATCGGTAGTTACACTCGGTTGAAACGTTTTCTTTTGTTGGGCTCTCTGCATCGGATTTTATTTCAATGCCCAATGCCAATCTGTGTATATGGACACATTTGCTGGCAGTATTACAATCATGTGAAAAATAGGGATCTGAATCAGAGACAGGTGATGGCTTTTTTTTGATACAGAGGCTCAAAAGAAGGCTGAAATAATTTCTTCGTTCTAGTTCTGATCATTTCACGAGACTAAACTATGATCTGAATTGATGACAACATGAGTAGTTAAACCAGCTCTTGTGTTTCATCACTTTACTCTGACAAAATGACCCTCAAACTCCCATATAGGACCTACATAGACTTTCCGTCCATGCAACAGCCAGAAAATCATACTAAAGATAACGGCCCCGCCAAAAATTAAACAACTCCAATTCATATTTGCCGCGTCCACCGTTGAGAAAGCAGGCCAGAACGAGAAAAACAGTGCAATGATAGTGTAGATTATAGCCACAATAGTAATGGGTACACCTAGCTTCTTAAGTCGGAAAGGACCCCATGGCATTTCGGACGCTGGTATTTTTAATCTTTTTGCCAACATGACACTGGCCGCTAGCAAGAAAGATGACTGGTACGCGGCCAAAACAACAGAATAGAATGCTCCAAATGCGGTGTATGAGCCGACGCTTATTAGTGCTAGTAGTACGTTGATTATAAGTGTTCCTATGATTGCGTTGATTGGTAGTCGGGTTTTGGGATTAACCTATGCTTGTCATTAGCTTAAGTTTGTAAGAACCCAGAGACACGGTGTTTTTTGCCTTCACAAGGAGATGAGAGAATGGCAGTCCATTTTCTCTTGAAAAGGCCCATAAAGTTCGAGATGCTGTGGCCAAGACACTGCTGACGGAAAAAACGTTCACTCCGGTAATCACAATTATCTGCCCGAGTTAGAAAAATACGTTCAGCCATGAATCATTACTTACAAGTGCATTGGCTCCTTTTTTTGACCCTAATGCAGTCTGAAATATCTCCATGAAAGGAAAACCAGTGTTTGATTGAGTAGCGGCGACGATATCTTGGATACCAAACAATACTGCTATCATCATAGAAAAGCCTAGGATGCCATTGAACAAGGTTGAGAACCAAATGCTGAAAGGTATGACTCTCGATGCCTGGTTGATTTCTTCGGCTACAAAGGATGAGTTTTTGGCCTCATTCTTGGTCCTGATCTTAGTTTATTCGATAGAAAATGAAACATAAGCATACCAATGTGATCAGCGCCATCATTTCCTACGAAGGAACTGACAGATGTAATCCATCCAACAAAAAACGAAAGACCCATGGTATCCCATCCACCCAGGTTTTGAAAAGTGGTAAAGACCTTGTCAGCGGGTGTATGAGGCGATAAATAAACTATAGGAATGAGCACTCCAATGAATCCCAAGATATACACAATAAGCATCATAGCTTCGATACGCGGTAGAAGACGACCCAGATAAGTATTGATGAAAACACCAAAGAGAGCGATGGCATAGAAAAGCAGAGTCGCTTGCCACAATTTCGGATCATAGTCTGGATAGTTGAGAATCAGAAGACCTTGAATCAATGAAGCGACAGTATAGCATGTTTCTGCAACAAAGGCTTGCCAACAAATGACGGTGAGCCATCCTGCCAAGTAGCTGAGAAACTTCTTGCACCAAAGGGGAGACAAAATAGCAACCCAATTAAAAGGCCCACCAGCGAGAGGAATCCTATATTTGATGAGTACTATACTCTTGATTATATCGAGATTCTAAGTATTTGACTCACATTGATGCCATCTCAGCCATTACCAATGCTTGAAGCATAGCTCCGGACCATGCTGCTAGAAATCCGTAGATCAGTCCGGCAGGGCCGCCATTTTGTAATCCGAATTGAAGAGTGCTTTGTATGGTAAGTCAGGTAGTACTTCTGAGCGGAAAGAAACATATTGGGACTCTTACAATAAAACAACTTCCCATGTCAACATCAAACCACAAGTTAAGCCCACGGAAGACAAAGATTTAAATCTTCGCTAAAAAATTTATGTGGTCAATGATATAGTAACGCTTAGCCGAGTGAGATCTTACCTTGAGCTGCTGCTTTTTTCCAAATACAGCCAGAGTTGCCTCATCTTGGACTTTACTTGCGTAGTCTTTCTCCGATAACTTCCCTCGCTCTGTCAGGTTCATATCTCCATTTTCTTGGTCAAGATTAATTCCGGATGAAGTGGTGACTTTGACTTCTTGCACAACACCAGGCTTAGCTCCATCAAGCGCGTAGGAAGACATTTTTTCGTTCAGTGTCACAGAATGCCACTTCAAAGAAAGAGAAAGTAAATCAGAGTTAGATAAAGAGGGGGGTATCGTTCAATAACGGGATGCGTTTTTTTCCACAAGCCATGCCATGTTCCAGCATGGATTTGTATAATCAGACGAACCATTGAGCCTAGATTGCTTGACCCACTAATCGAATACAAGAACGGCGAGTTGCATTTCATGCGTTACATTCTACTTGTCATAATTTAATGCCCTTGTTCCGGACCTGCGGGGAAGCGGAGGCCTAAATGCAACATCAACCGGGGTTATGATAGCGTCCCAACGCTGTAACCGAGAGCAGATCATGGCTTGTAATAACAGACGTATTTATCCATATACTGCATGGCGAGACTGGATTGCTAAAAGCTGGGTTCATTCTATCACCCAGACCATAAAGTGATCTTAACTCATTTCAAAAATCCATCATCAATTAATGAAATGGCACCTATCAACCCAGCAGCCGATTTCTATGACAACTTAGGAATTAGATACGAGAAGAGTTTTGGACATGATGAAGGCCTCATAGCGTTCATTACCGAGAGTCTGAGTCTTCTTCCTGCGAGCTCTGATACGACGGTCCTTGATATCGGCAGTGGAACCGGGGTTCCAACATCCAGCCTCGTTGTGAGCAGTGGTCGCAAATTATATGGGATTGACTTTTCTCCCGTCATGATCGAATTGAGCAAGCGACAAGTCCCTGGGGGAACTTTCCAGCTGACTAACATGCTTGACTTCTCCCCTGAATCACCGTCTCACTTTCAAGGCGCCTTTGCGATATTCTCCCTGTTCCATTTTTCGCGTGAGGAAATGGATGTGGCGGCTGAAAGGATGTCGGGATGGATTGCTCCGGGGGGCTACATTTTTATCGGGACCATGGTAGCCGAGGACTTTCCAACAGAGCCACATATGTTTGACGAGGATGGAGAATGTGCAAGAGGTATCGAGCATACATTCATGGGAAAGCGGATTGGGAACCTTCTTTACACCAGAAAGGGTTGGGAGAACTTGTTGCGAAAGGTTGGGTTCGAGGTGGTGAAGACAGAAATGGTACCTTTTCAGGCGCCTGCAGATGCACAATGTGATATTGAGCCGCATTATTACATTACCGCACGCAAGAACTCTGACGGATAAGCGTTCACCACGTGTGTAACTTCAAGCTCCAACAAGAGTCTGGACAAGTCGAGCGTACCTCCCCGATAGAATATAGATCGATAGGAATTTACACCACGCATTCCGAAATTAGAATGATTAGCATTGATCCATGTCACAATCAACTTGGTACTTCGGCATCACGTATTCGGATAGGGTCAATTTATCCAGAGACAAAAAGAAGAAAATAAATTAGATCTTGATTTGCTCATTGGCCAATATTCTATATGCTCGTATCAATCAAGCGTCGAAAGCACAAGTGCGATATTGTTCACCTCCTGTGTTTATAAATCTGTGAAAATTACATTGCTAAAGTGTTGTTGGATTTCACAATCGGATGTTGACTTTCGCGGATTCGGTGAAGAATACGAAGTGAGGCACAGCACATATTTGAATCCCCTTGCAGTTCAACTTCTAATTTCATAGGTACTCATATCCCACACAACTGGTTCTTATCTCGAACTATTTGAGCAATGATAATCTGCGACCTAAAGAAAATGGATGTTGACCGCAAGATCTAGGAGCAATCATATTCTCAGGCAGTAGGGTAATTCATATATTGAATGCAAGCCTTAAGTTTTCTTGTGCTTTTGCAGCAGCATGTCAATTACATTACATGAACGTTCTGAGCCTTCATTTACCAACAATACAAATTTGACGCCGACAAGTGGCTACTTATCCGACCAAGATGGCTGTAGTAACAGCCGATAATCATGGGCCACTTCTGAATGTCGCTATGTGGATTGTATTGTACCCATGATTATTATGCATTGACCAAAATCTATACCAAATACGACACTCTTCGCAAAATCCAGATGGATGATTATTTGGGTCTCATTGCTATGGTATGTAGGTCCAGTGCGTTCCCATTCTGGTCTCCATACGTGATTCCATATCTTGAGCTTACAATTATCCGTAATATTAGTTGTCCTCGGTCGGTCAATGCATATGCACATCGGAACAAATTGCTCATGGACTTGGGCAAAAACAAGATAATATTCTTCAGAGTGAGCTAAATCGCTTCTATATAGTGAGATATCTGCGATAAGGCCATCGACAAGCACTAAGAACTTATAGGCTCAATATGCTGGTAACATTATGTATATCTCAGCAATCTTTCTCGCCAAGATATCAAATCTTTACTTCTTCGTTTGTCTCACTAGAGAAGGAAGCAAGAAACGACAATTGATTCATAGAAGCATTGTCTGGATTGGAATATGGAGCTTGATCAGTGTAATTGTGATCGCTCTGCAATGCCAGCTCCCAGATCCTTGGGTGTTTGAGTCGGGGAAATGTATCAATGTTGTAAGATACTCCAAGTCTTCGAGTTCTGTATCCTAACCTCAGTTGCTGTTCCACAGAGAGCCTTTTGGACTATCAACGCGGTAGTGGATTCGTTGACCCAGGTGTTCGTTGGTCTGCTTCCTGTGTATATTCTGAATGTTCTGAAAATGGAGGATTCCAAGAAAAGATTGACAATACTTTTATTCTCGCCGAACCTTTTGTAAGACTTGTCTTTTGTAACCGTTAACCCGTTTGTATTCTGTATCAGAGGATGTGTGACTAATTCAACCATCAATAATAGGACCTTACCCCTTGTTATTCTTCGCATAATCTATCTTTATAACACCATCGATTCTAGAAATTATACTTGGGATTCATTTAACTTGGCTTTAATAACAAACCTGCACTCTTCCTTCACAATTATATTGTCCTGTGTACCCTTCTCCAAATCCATTATCGACAGCCTCGTCGTCGCAACCGCATATCATAACGGACACCACAAGTGGGGTCCTCTCAAGTGATCGGCTAAAAGGTGCAGGAAGGGCAAACAGATCTTACATTAGAGGCTCTTCACGCTTTTTCAAGTGGAGGTGCAACCAGGACAACTACAATCGTAACTGTTACTGGAGGTGAAGCACAAGAATTGAACGAGTATATCAGCCGTGCCGAGAGCCAAGAACGAATGATCTCAGGGTCAACAAGCCCAGCTACAAGCAAAGCTGAATGGCACTCATAAATAAAACCGATGATATTCTTGTCCCTCTGGTACTTCAAAGCAATATTGGACTAATGACACCGGCCATCGACAAGAGGCTTTCAAGCAAAGCAAGATGAACTGGCCCTCAATAACAGCCCTTTCCGATAGCAGTTTTCGTTATGTCGATGGTATTTCTCGCTTCACAAGATGCAACCTTCGTCTGGCACTAAATAGACGCGACATGACCCACGATCAATCAAATCAGAAACTTCTCATCCCGATCGCCGCTCTCTCCTTCAGCAAGAAACCCCACTCGAAAGAAAAAAAGGTTCCATATCCATACCCCACTAACCTCCCCGCTACACTCACCACACCCAAAAATTATCGCCTCGGCTAAAAATTTGAGTAAAGAAAAATTCGCAACACCAACAACAATTGCAAAAAAACGAATTTGAACAAGAGATTCAAGGAATTCTATGTAATTGAACTCTCTGACGGGAGTCGAACCCCGGTCTCCCGCGGCTTGCAATGAAACAATTGACAAGCGGAAATCATGACCGTTAGACCATCAAAGATGTTGTGTTATGTTGGAGAAGAGGTTGAAGTTTAGGAATATGATGCAGAAGTGAAGTGGGTGTAAAGAAGGGTCTCAGGGTAAAGGGCAGATAGTGGAACGCAATGAATAATATAAATAACAATCATCATATCGAATATTTCCTGATTTTTCTGGTTAAAATCTTTCATCTTCTACTGTTCATACCTCATATATCGGTTACGCATACAGATGAATCTGGATATAAGGGTCTAAAAACTTCAAGGCCTAAATGCCCGTATACAGGGGTTGCTCGTATATACCGTTCAGCCTTGGCATTTAGCCTCGTTTTATACCTTCAGCCTTTCCATTTTCATTAAGTATATCATGTGAATTTCTGAATTCATTATGTAATAGGCTAAAGCTTGGGCCATTCCCACCCACTTTTATAAGGGTATTAGGAAAATTAGGACTATATGCTTTTATATAAAGGAATGCCCGTTTAAGTCAATTTCACTATATAAATTTTTAGAAAATCATACTCGCGGCCCTGATTCAATCGCCCCCAAAGCAAAACCCACCTCCTGGCGGGCCGAACGATCCGGGTCAGGCCGAAAATGACCGCCTCCACAATTTAAGACGTAAGTGTATTCTTTTATATGATTGATTTGACTTTTTGATGAATAATCAATATGCTTATTAAAATTATAGAGATGATAAATCCTTCGAATGAGGTTATTCTAAACCGATAGGATCAGATTCCAGCCGGTATCAACGTGCACAGAGACCTCATACCAGCAGGTTATCAAAGACTAAATGTGGCACAAATCATCAATACGCATATTCAGCTAACTCAAGGCGACCGGGACCAACTGACGGATTTACTTTTGAACCAATATTCAGAACACCATGGCATAGACGAGGTGCCAAACAACGATTGGAGAGAGAAGTGGTTTAATAGGAAGAGGAAGAGGAAGAGGAAGAGGAAGAGGAAGAGGAAGAGGAAGAGGAAGAGGAAGAGGAAGAGGAAGAGGAAGAGGAAGAGGAAGAGGAAGAGGAAGAGGAAGAGGAAGAGGAAGAGGGCGGGAGAAGAGGGCGGGCGAAGAGGGCGGGCGAAGAGGGCGGGCGAAGAAAGAGGAAGAAGAGGAAGAGGAAGAATAAGAGTAAAAGAAAAAGAAAAAGGAAGAAGTATCGGGATATCGATTATGTGATTAAAGACGGCATTATATTAACTAGCGCGGCGCTAGCTCTTCACTATACTAAATATTAGCTTCTTATAGATCTTCAATAGAATCTGATATATAATTGATGATATAAACAATGGGATGGTGATATATCGATTTTGTTAATAGATAAAGAATTGTACTTATTTTTCTTTAGTCTTGTATTTAGATGACAGCATCAGGCTTCAAACCAAACTATAATAAACAAATCCTGAGAACTTCTGGTATCATTTGAGGTATACTTATTACCGAATATTGTAACACTTTGCCTTAGAAGAAGTGTGAGAGCAGAGTACAATTTATTCTTAGAATCTACAATTATAGAATCAGAAGCAAAGTGTTTGTAGAGTGTTTCTATATACTAGCTATGTATATATGATTGTGCATATATACAAGTGTGTATATAAGCGATTGCAGCTGCGATTGGATATGATCCGTAATATTACCCTCCCTTTCGAAAAAGCTTGCCTTTAAGCTTCACAATTACTTAATCCGTAGATACATTGGCGATCCCAATGAGACATTGTTGTTTATATTGTAGTATAGCGTGGTAAACAAACGTATACACAAATTTTGCTTTTTTCGCGACGGGAAGGCGTATGGAAATGAAGGAAACCGTCCTGTAGCCTAGCAACAGTGCGAAGCCTTCGAAGCATATAGATCGCCCGAATTTCCCTCTCTCTTTCAAATCTTTTCCAATCACTTTCAGCCTCTCGTGCGATTAGGATTTTCTTTGTTACAATAATGAATTAAAGAAATTCTTTCTATCTTTTTCATTCATATATTGATTGTTATCTGTGAAATTGTAATCATCCTTTCTATTCTTATAAAAACAAATCCATTCTGGTAGATGTGTAGAGGGTTCTGGCAGAGTGGGATTTTGTAGATGAAAATCATGAAGGTGGTACAGAGCAATTTTTAAATTAGAGGTAGGGTATTAGGTAAAATCGTTATCAATGTTTAGCTATAATACTCTATACTTAAACTATCAATATACTTTCTTATAACTAAAATATACTTCATTTCCCATTCAATATTACTGGTAATATTTATTAGAAATAATGGTTTAAGGATTTGTTCAGGAAGTGGGTTATCTACTATTTTATAGAGCTTGCTAGATGGAAATACAGGGTGGACTTTTATAGTAGGTAGTAAGTCCAATTGGAAGGAATCTCCAATTCAATTAATAATCTTGAATCTATTTTAAATAGAATAATCCAGTTTTTTGGATAGTTGTTATATTGGAAAGTCCCTTATATTGAGTTATACATAATCTCCTATATCAAAATCGATTGAGCAGCAATACAAGTTGGCTAATCAAAATATCTTTTCTTGTGTATACAAGATATTTTCTTTTACTCAATCGAATACTAGTTTATTGTATTTAGTATACTCTTTAATATCGATTATATTCAAATCGTTAACAAACACAGTGAAATCGGGTTTCCAATTCTAGGGATTGCAGGGTAGATAGCTATATAAGGTCTTGTATGGAGTTTAACTACCTAGTGATTTATAAGGAAATGTAAATTAAGCATAATTCATCATTAATAGGAATTCAGATTAATTATCTTAATAATAATTTATAAAGGGTTATAAGCATTATTAAAGATATTGATTATAAATCTTAATTTAACTGTTAGTTTGTGGGTAATAAGTAATAAATAACTTGACTTGTATTTTTAAAATATTATTGAATTCTTGTTAGAATTTGGATATGAATTGAGGATTACAATTAGAGATTATAGTTTCCGGGGCATTGTAGTATCTATATATATGATATAGGTATAAGCAGACCTGATCTTCGAATCAATTGATTTATAATAAAATATCAAAATAGCTTGTTTGGTTAATCGGTTGATAATAACGAATACGTTGTTGTAATTGTATTTATTCTTATTGAAACTATAATAGTTTATAGTAATATATTACTATACTCGCATAGGAATTGGGAGCAGGTGAAGAAAACCGGAAATGTAATCTTTTGGTATGGAGCTGTGCTTACACTTATAGTAATTCCATATATATTGGTTGATTATATTATTTATATTCTTCCAATAATATTGATTAGCTAAAAGAATATAAGTCTTTTTGATATCAGGGTATACAGTGGAGATTGAATCATGAACTTCACAAATCAAATAGATTCGCAGATTTTCAGTATCCGATACATAAAGTCAATCGTTGTAAAGCAAGAGTCCTTTCTCGAGTGTGAGATGCTTGTGCGATTTGATAATCTAAATACACAAAGCTTCTAAATTCAAATAGGATCTATTTACTTTAATAATGTGATTTATAATATCGAAAAGCAATATGATTATATATATATCGATATTTGCAACTATATCCGGATCTTGTTGTAGAGATTCGTGTATAATCTTTATATTCATCTATTTATTTTATTTATTTATAGTGATTAACGTCTAATATCTGACCTCCCAAGGGGTATTCTAGACATACTAAAGAGCGGGCCTACAGACCGCTAGCATTCCAGCCGCTCATAGTAGTGTAATGTTAGCTAATCAGAGACTTATTGCCTCTAATGTTCCCCTATTCAATATCGCTTATGGCGATCCTGTGATTATTCTGTCTAAAGATTTATGATTCTATTTTAAAGGGCCTTGTTTTGTATATTATCTAGGTATTAGCGGATAATTAAATCAATTGCTATTAATCGGAAAAACGCTCGGAGTGTTTATAACTAGTCGGTGCGGGTTTTAGATTAATTGAAATGGAGAGCTCATCCTTAGAGTATTGGAATAGATTGGAATTCGTATAGTTTTATATAGTTTGAGTATATTCTAATATAGAATTCAGATCTAGTAAGAAGATCAATAAAACTATATTATATTTACAGGATGTAGTTGATATATATTATCGTGTTCTATTCGGATCGAAGTTGATTTGATATAAATGACTAGTTACTATGCATTTGATTATTGATTAAATATTGAAAGAAATATAATGGGCTTTTTTTAATTCTATATATATAGATATTTATACTATTTTCGTAATTGAATTTAATATAATAGGCTGCAAAGTCACCATATCCGGTCCGCATTGTTATAAATCTGTATAATACTTTACAAGAAAGCTTGAGGCTTTCCGGTTTTAAGATATTATATACTGATTTCCATATATCATATATTTTGGAGATCAGATCTCTTTTTTCCTTTTATTATCTATTCTTGGAACGTTGATATTTGGTATGTAGGACAGAGCAGGAGCTGCTGACTATAGGGAAACAGGATAGGCCAGGATCAAGCGGCCCAGCTGTGCCCTGA